AAAAAAAAAAAAAAAAAAAAAAAAGAAGGACCGGCATGGACATTGTAGTTTGGTGGGTTGCCTGAGTTTCCCTCCCACCCACCCCCTTTGCTGTTTTCTCGGCTTGGTAAGTGCCACGTCAGCAGTGCCATGTCATCAGTACCATCCCAGCAGACTACGTCAGCAGTACCATCCCAGCAGACTACGTCAGCAGTGCCACGTCAGCAGTACCGCGTCATCAACACCGTACAGCTAACTGCAGCTTAGGCTCCAACGCAGCAACCGCATCGCCGCACGTGACGGGCGGGCAGCCGCAGCAGAACAGCAGCTACCTCTGCCCCACCCCTCTGAGATGGACAACCCCACGGTGGACAATGCCGCATCCGGCAGTCCACGCGAGGCATGCAGCTCGAACCCCCCGGCCCCACAGGCGCAGCAGGAGGGTTCCACTGCAACTTCCGCGGGAACCTTCGACGATGCACCAGTCCGGCAGCAAGGAGAGACCATGACGGCCTTCCTGACCCGCCTGGGCACTTACATGCAACAAGTCCAAGAGGAACAGCAACGTGAGGCCGCAGCCGAAGAGGCACGTCTCAATACCATTGCACACGCAGAAGAGCAACGGCGCCGGCAGCAAGCGGACACAGCTGCCAATCATAACAAAGCTCGACGAGATGCCGCGTCTGTCCTCATGCAGCAGGAAGCCGCTCATACCGCCGCACTCCAAGCATGGCATGTTGATCCAGCAGAAGCAACGAAACCAACTGCGGGGGACCAGACTAAGTCAGCTCTCGCCAGCATGATGCACCAAGTCATCCTCACTTGTAACTGGCAACAAGTGGAGCTGGCTCGGCAGGCACGTACCATCACTGAGTACGAGGAGACTCTCAAGAGCCTCCACGCCCGCCTTGACATGCTGGAGAAGGGTGACGTGCCGAACAGGCACACGGCATCGTCAAGCATTGATCCATCAATCCGCGAGCTGGAAGGACGGCTGGATCACCTGGTCGCGCTTGTCGGCAATTTGAACAGTTTCCGACACCCGACGACCATCAGCCAGCAAATAGCCGCCCTACAAGCGGATCTGCGTCAGCTGCAGCAGCAACCAACTGGGACCTGCAACAGATTGACGCCGAAACAATTCAAGATGCCGAAGTTCAGCATCGAGAGGTCTGATGACTACTACAAGGCGGACCCCATCAGTTGGTGGCAAGGGTTCACCAATGAGCTCTCCATCCACTTGGTCCCGCCCGAGTCGAAGATCTCAGCGCTTTACCTCTGCAGCACCGGTGCCAGCCAAGTGTGGCTCAACCACCTAGCTCAAACCGAAGGCGTCGAAGTCTCGAAGCTTTATACCAAGATCACTTGGGAGGCCATGACTGAGAAGTGGAGGAAATGCTTTGTCGTCGACGACGCTCAGGGCAAAGGCGTGAACCGGATCTTCAGCATGCATCAAGGCAGCCAGCCAACACGCGAATGGCTAACCGAGTGGCAGAAAATCGTGACGATTCCGAATTTGGATATCCCATTCGTACATCTTCGTCGTGAATTCTTCCAGCGGTTAGTGGACGCGTTGAGCACGGCCCTTGGGGAGCGCAGCCTATACACGGACTTCGACCAGATTGTGGAGAAGGCGCGTGAAGTCATCCAAACCAATCGGTGGGCAGTCAACGAGCGGCGAAGCCAACCGAATTTTGTGGAAAAGGGCAAAGGCCCGCGGCCGCAGCAAGTCGCTGCTGTCAAAGGAAATGGACAAGAGAACGACCAGGCGATGACTCACGAGTCTAGTGAAGGAGACGGAGTCAACGCCCTTCCGCCACGACGCAACAACAACAACAACAACAACAAGAAGGCGAAATATGCGTCAACAACGGAAGCTGGACAGCCGAATGAGCCATGGAAGAAGTTCAGCCTCACGGAGGAGCAATACAAACTCCGCCAGAGGTGGAATTGTTGCTATTGGTGCAACAGCACCAAGCATACGACGTCGCAATGCCCTGAAAAAGGCAAAGAAGACGTCCATCCACGACAAAAACTGAGCTTCACGGGAAGTGAGGCGACTCCACTTACTACTTCGCTGGACACGGTTGCCTTGCTAACAACCTCCTCCACGTCCGGGGAACATGCGTATGTCGCCAGTCTCCACGACGATTATGAAGACTATGCTGTCCAGCTGGTCCCGCCGTTGGACCAACCTCTCCACGTGCAAGAGTCATTTGCGTGTGCGACTTCATCACCATCGCCAAGTGAACCAGCATCCTCGCCGGCATCACTCGGGGACGCGTCGGTGTGGTCTAGACTTGAGGAACTCGACCCATTGACACCGGAGGACTTCCAATGGTTGCCTCTTCCCCCATCTGGTTCCTTGTCGAAGCTGCATTGCTGGCAGAGCTACGCAACTACTTGCACGCTGCAGTACCAGCTCCGTTGATGGAAGACGAAGTAGCGGTTGTTGACCTTCGCGAGTACATTGCGAAGATTGACCGCGAGTACGCCATGCAACGGTACGATGACACCGGCGCACCGTTACTCTACGTCCGCATTCAGATCGGGAAAGCGACCTGCAGCGCCTTGATCGATTGTGGAGCTACTCGCAACTACATCAGCCAGGACTTCATGACCCGCGCCGGCCTGGGGCCGCGCGTTCGAAGGAAATCGTAGCCCACGCAAGTCACGTTGGTCGACAGTCGTACGCACAAGTCCATCGACCGGTGCATTGACTCCGTCCCCGTGTACTTCGCCCCGCTTGCATGCGAGGCCGTGTCCTTTGACATATTGGACACCAAGTTCGACATGATTTTGGGCATGTTATGGCTGCGCAGCGAGGACCACCCGGTTGACTTCTACCGCCGCACCGTTCACGTTCATGACCGGAACGGGGTACTTGTGCCATGTACGGTCCCCCCACCTCATCCTTCGATTGGTTGTCACGTGGTCTCCGCGGCAAGCATTCGCAACTCCATCGCACGGAACGACGTGGAGGAAATGGGCATTTGTTTCTTGCACGCCCTCCCTCCTCCCGACGAGCCAGCGGCGGAACAACCACCGGATCCACGCATTGTACAGCTTCTTGACTCCTATGGTGACGTCTTTGAAGCCCCCGCCGGAATCGTACCGAATCGGCCAATTCGCCACGAGATCATCCTCGAAGACGGGGCCGTACGGGCCCGTACCTCCGCGCGGATGTATTTACTGCATGAGCGACGAGGAACTCGAAGTGCTTCGAACGCACTCCATGACCTCATTGACAAGGGCTGGATTCGCCCTAGCTGCTCGCCCTACGGTGCACCTGCTCTCTTCGTTCGGAAGAAGAACAAGGAGCTGGGCTTATGCATTGACTATCGCAAGCTTAATGCTCAAACCATTAAGAATGCCCGCCCGCTTCCACGCATCGACGATCTTCTCGAACGTTTGGGCGGCGCCAAGTATTTCTCCAAGTTGGACCTCAAATCCGGTTACCACCAGCTCGAGATCCGTCCAAGAGATCGGTACAAAACCACGTTCAAGACACGGTACGGGCACTTCGAGTGGGTCGTAATGCCATTCGGCCTCACGAACGGCCTGACCACCTTCCAAGGAGCAATGACAACGGAGTTTCGCGACATGTTGGACCGGTTCGTGCTCATCTACCTCGATGACATCCTGGTGTATAGCCGAAGTTTGGACGAGCACATCGTGCATCTACGTGCTGTTTTGGACAGGCTACGTACGGCCAAGTACAAGGCCAACCGAGCCAAGTGCGAATTCGCACAGCAAGAGCTCGAGTACTTGGACCACTTTGTGACGCCGCAAGGCATCAGTCCGCTTGCGGACAAGATCAAGGCCATTCAGGATTGGCCGGAACCGACCAACACCACGGAGGTTCGCTCTTTTATGGGATTGGCCAGGTACTACCAACGCTTCATCGGAGGATACGCACGGATCGCCACACCTTTGTCTAGATTGCAATCTCCACAGGTGACCTCCCAGTTCACTGACGAAGTCCGCAGTTCGTTCCAGAAATTGAAGACGGCGTTGCTCCTCGCTCCCGTCTTGAGTATCTACAATCCCACCTTGCCTACGAGAGTGACTACGAACGCTTCCGGCTACGACATGGGTGCAGTTTTGGAACAACACGACGGAGTAGATTGGCACCCGGTTGAGTACTTCAGCCAAAAGGTGCCTCCCATCAACTCGGTTGATGATGCGCGAAAGGAGTTGCTCGCTTTCGTCACGGTACTCAGGCGTTGGCGACACTTCCTCCTCGGGCGTCGTAGGTTCACCTGGGTGACGGATAATAACCCATTGACCTACTACAAGACGCAAGCCACGGTGAGCAGTACGATTGCTCGGTGGATGTACTTCATCGATCAGTTCGACTTCACATCGAAACACATTCCGGGCCTCTCCAACCGAGTCGCGGATGCTCTCTCGCGAAGATCAGATCTTTGCGCAATGACTCACCACGCGTTCAGTTTCGACGAAGCCCTTCATCAGCATTTTGTGCGAGCATACAAGTCCGATCCGGAATATGCCACGCTCTACGAGCAACTATCCTCGGATCACCCGCCGGCCAGCCACTATCGCATCGTCGATGGCTTCCTGCTGCTGCACTTACGAGGCAAGGACTTACTATGCGTCCCACACGACCGTCGCTTACGGACTCGTCTCCTCGGCGAGTACCATGACTCGAGACTCGCCGGCCACCTCGGAGTCAACCATACGATCGCAAGACTTCGGCAGCGATTCCGGTGGCCTGACCTCATTACCAACGTCACTGGGTATTGCGACTCTTGCGAAGTTTGCCGACGAAGCAAACCCCGCAATCGCAACCCCTACGGTGAGTTACGCCCGTTGCCTATTCCACGGGAACCCCGCCTCTCCATTGCCATGGACGTCACTGGCCCGTTCCCCCGGGACCGCTTCGGGCACGATGGCATTCTCACGGTCGTTGACCGTTTGAGCAAGTATCCACGATTCCTTCCTTGCAAGTACCACGCCACGGCTCCGGAACTTGCACGCCTCTTACACACCGGCTGGATTTGCGGCCACGGCGTTCCGGAAGACATCGTCAACGACCGCGACACTCGGTTCATGTCGGCATTTTGGACCTCTCTCATGAAAGAGTCCGGCACCGAGATGAAACCAAGTTCGGCTCGGCATCCGCAAACGGATGGGCAGACGTAGCGGGCACATCAAACCGCTCAAGTAATGCTTCGCACACTCATCCGTACGGATCAGAAGGATTGGGTGGACCACCTCCCTGACATCGAGTTCGCCTACAACACTTCGGTGCACCCGGTGATCGGCGTGACTCCGTTCGGTTACACCACGGTGGCCGGAAAGGCCGCATCTTCGCTGATGTTCCTTTTCCAAGGACTGTCGACATTGACGCCGCTTGTTCGCCCGCCTCCGTTCGGAAGTATAGGGACTTGCTGGCTAAAGCCCGTGCTAACATGCAAAAGGCTCAAGTCTGCATGCAACAGCAAGCTAACAGGCGTCGCGTGCCATGCCCCATCCGCGCCGGCGACCTTGTTTGGGTCTCCACGGAAGAGTTTGCACTCGAGCAGGATGTATCCCGCAAGCTACTTCCAAAGTGGTTTGGACCATGGCACGTCACATCAGCCGCGGGTGATGAGCCCGATGGCCCTTCATTCGTGATCGAAATCCCGCCGCACCTCACGGTGCACCCGGTTTTCCACGCCTCCAAGCTGGCCACATATACACCAGCCAAGAGCGACTACTTCCCGAGACGACGATCACAGGACCCTCCTTCCATGGATGGTCATCAGGAAGTCGACCGCGTCATCACGCATCGCAAGCACGACAACAAGCCTATGCAGTACAAAGTCACATTCAAGTGGTGCGACCCCGATGACACGCGATGGATATCCCGGGAGGCTCACAAGGTAGGTGGCTCCCTCCTTTCTGTCTCACACTCTCTCTCTCT